TTTTAACTAGTATTTTGTATTTGCTTGGTAAATACCTAGAAGTTTGGGTCATATAACAGAATACTTTTTAGTTCTTTGAGAAACATTCACACTACTTTTCAGATTTTCCACAGATTAGGAGGGTGCTTTCTCTCATAAATACGTTTTTAGTCAAACAAAGTTGCATTTTTTAAAACTCATTTCTGGAAGGGAAAGGAAAAATCCAACAACCCATGGGAGGAAAAGGAGAGGGAGAGGGAGAGGGGTCCTTTTTTTTAGGACTTGTGATTTTAAGGAAGGTTTAAAAAAAATCACTTTGATATGAACTACAGGCTGTTAGGAATTAGGTTGACTTCATGATTGGATATATATGGGGAAGACATAGAAGAAATCTAAAAGATACATATGGGGAAGACATAGAAGAAATCTAAAAGATTTTTCTCTTACTTTCTTACTGAAAGTAAGAGAAAAATCCCCTCATACCAGGCAATAGAAACAGGTGTTTGAGATTTTTGGATGGGAGAGTGTTTTTGGTGATTTCTATACTAAGAAATGATCATGGTGAGATTTTGCTCCAGTGTAGTTGTGTAGTTAAATAGTAAATTTGTCTTAAATGGGTATTCTATGAAAATGTTAATTTTAAGCAGGTAAACATCAAGGTCTAGTTATTAAAGAAAAGGCAATTCCAAGGTGACAGAAATCAGTGATTTTTATTTTTATTTTTTTCTTTGTCAACAGCAAGCAGTGGAAATGCTTATATGTACTTTTTCATGTATTTCTCTGAAAAAATCTAATGGGTGGAACTATGAAGGTAAAAAACAAGCAAATTTCACTTAATGCTGCATAACTGCTCCCTAAAAATGATTGTAATAATTTATAATTCCATCTGTAGCAACTGTGGATTGCTTGCCAGCATCTGGTTTTATAGTTTGAAGTCTTTCAATTCTCTTAAATTCCTATAAATCTTTTTGGAAGTAAAATCAATTTACTATCATTATTACTTCCCCCACTTCTTATATATTGTTATGTATTATTTTAAACATTCAAATATAAAGACATTCTATTTTTAATTGGAAAATTGTTACATTGTTATGCTATTCAAAGCAACATAAGTATTATAAATTAGGAATTTAACCTATTTTAAGCCATCTATCAGAGTGTTCTCCAAAGTATGTGAATAAGTTAGGATGACTTTTTCAGCTATCTAAATAGAAGAGGAGATGATATATTTTTCTCCTATCTATAAAGCAAATCTAGGAGAAAATTTGCTTTATGCTATGTCCTGGATGGTTATACGCCTTTCCCAAATCCATATATTGACACCTTATTCGTCAAGGTGATGCTGTCTGGATATGGGGTTTCTAGGAGATAAGTAAACCACTTGGGGGACATGAAATTAGTGGTTATTGGGAAAAGGTGTGTGAGCTTGTGTCCTTCCTCTGTGCACTGCTCTCTCTGAGACTACAAAGGAAAGAAGACCAAAAATCCAGAAGATAATGCTCATCAAACAGCAACTCTACCAGGCACCTGATATCAGATTTCCCACTACTCAAACCTGTGAAACCTAATTTTTTTACTATATAAACTACACTAATTCGATTAACTTTTGTAGCAATTCAAACTGAGTATAACAATTTCTTTTGGGAAATAAAGAGAAAATGCATGTTTTATATACTTATACACATTTTATTTTGTTTTCTTATTAAAGATGCACAATAGGAAATATATAAATCTGATGATAACTGTTGACATAAACTTAAATCTAGTGAACATTACATAAATTATTGTATGCAATTGCACAGAAAATTTCAAATATCACCTTTTTAAATTATATATTTACTCACCTATATATTTAGTAACTAGTTTAGCTTTAACATTCTTAAAAAGTAACAAGAAATAATTAAATACTTCTGAATATATTTAAAACATTGAAACCAGGCCACATTAATACAATACAATTAGCATTGAAATTGATTTACACTGCAGTGACATTGATTTACACTGTGTAATGCACATTTTGAACATATTTTAATGGAATATAAATAAGTAATTAATAGGCATCATTAAATATAAATCCAGGTATCTATTTTGCTGTGGTAATTGAAACTGATGATGATCTTCAAGACCAGGTGATTTCTATTGGTTCATATAGAACAACATTATTCCTTATCAGATTAATACTTAATATCTAGAAAAAAGGAAAAAGATAATTCATTGTACAATTGTGTGACTTTTTCACTGATTATTTCCAAAAATAAATGTTCAATAAGTAAACAAGATTATATACAAATATATATATACACACACACACATACTCATTTTGAATTTTATTCTAGAGATTTCACAAATAATATTACCCACTACACTCCTATACCCATTTATGCAGGTGATAAAAATAAATCCAGAGCAACTAATTGATTGTCAAAAGAGGGAAAAATTAAGACTGCTAACTAAATATATTCAATTTTATAACTTCTTACATACTAAATATGTAGCGAGTCATAAATGTATTACATTAAAATTTAAGTTACCCTCTCTCAAATATACACCTGACATTTTGATCAGAAAAAAATGTTTTAGTTTACATCAAACTTAAGGGGGCTTTAAGAGGTTGAATTTATGGTCAATGAACTCAGTTTCATGTACTATTTTCTTTCATTGGCAATAATATATAGTTAATATTAAGGACTAATTACGGAGATGAAATAAAGTTGTAGCCATTCAATCACTTATGTCTATGATACATGGTTTTATTAGACCCCACCAATGCTGCTTTTCTCCAATACACCAAATTTGCATGCTTTTTTTTCTATTTTTTAAAAAAAGATTTATTTATGTGTATAGAACTGTGGTACAGGTGTTGGGTCCAAGAGGATTCACTAGAGACAGAGCGGTGAGGATAGCAGGTAGATCGATGAAGTATACTGATGAGAGGAACAGAAGGCAGGCCAGGAGAGATCTGCAATGTCACGTGGGTCAGCCACGTTGGCTGGGGATTGGGCTTGCACTGCAGTGGCTGCAAGAGCCCCACAGTGTTGTGCCCCAACCCATTGTGCCACCAGGAACAGCCCCACCAACTTTACTTTCTCTGCCTTAGCTCAGAAAATTTGTATTCAATGATATGCACAAGAAGAGAACCAACATTCTTTTACCATTTGCCAAATACCAGGTAATAGCGTAACGGCTTTGTGAATTATATTTTTCACTAAACAACATCGCAAATTCATTCCCCATATTTTATAGTAGAAGAGTTTGAAAGGTTTAACTTAAATAATTTTCTTAATGTCCTTTAGCCAGGTTTGAAACTGACATATTTTCACCAAAATCAAACTTAGCTCCTTTCCATCAAAAATAAAAAAAATAGTGAGGCCCCCTGGTGACACAGGGGTTAAAGTGCAGAACTATGAAGCTATCCACAGTCACTGCAGCATGAGTTTGATCACCAACCAGAGAGGTGACCCACATGGCCTGGCAGACCCCACCTGTCTTGCCTGCTGCTCCCCTCAGCAGTGTACTTTGGTCAATCCATCTGTTCTGCTCCCCACTCTTATCTCTGGTGAATTCTCTCATCACCACCCCACACCTTTGGCCTCCTTCCCAGTTCTTGTGTGAATAAAATAAGAAATCTTAAAAAAATAGAGCCGGCCCTCTCTGGTGGTGCAGCGGGTTAAAGCACAGCACTGAGAATCTAAAGCCGCTTCCGCATGAGTTCGATCCCCGCCTGCCCCGAGGTGACCACATGGTATGGCAGACCTCTCCTGGCCCACCTGCTGCTCCCCTCAGCAGTGTACTTCGTTGATCTACCTGTTCTGTTCCCCACTCTGTCTCTGGTGAAGTCTCTCACCGCCCCTGAGCCTCTGGCCTGTACCCCAGTTCTGTATGCACAAATAAATAAATCTTAA